AGTCTGATCCTGCAAACCAATTAACATGAAAATTGGTAAAAAGTTTTAAAACGCTTATGCCACTAATAATCTCAAATTACAAGGCAACTGCTGAAGTATTGATTTGCAAAAGTTACAAATACCGTCTGAAGCGCATTTTGCAGTGACAAAGCGTGACAATCCCCTCGTCTCAACGCCCCGCCAAATCAATCGTGACGTACCGTGACAGCCATTTCAATCTCCCCATGTTTTTGCATTCTGAGACGCGGAAACCTGCCACAGCAAATTTTCAGCTCCATTTTATTAGCAGGCTTGTTCAAAACTAAAAGTTGTATATCTATATTAAATTTCAGCTTACGGTGTTAGTTGATAATTTTATAATGATTTTTCTTTCACGTGGTTTCAAACTCCCGGCGAAGTATGGTAACAGTTGGTCTGAGCAGTCATCTAGAGCGATTTGAACTGACGACTTGAGGCCCAAGTAAAACCCATGAACCAGATCCCAAGTATTTCGCATAAAGATCCCAATGAGCTGTAGTAGCCATTCATTCCTTCCAGATGGTCTACCGAGACATTGGGATTCCGAAAGCCTGAGCTGACCAACGCGCGTCTAAGTTTTACAATATGATGTCATCCAAGTACTGAAGGACGTATGACGTCTCCTAGCAGCCACAGGACGACAGTCTCAGTTTACAAGAAATCCGTCTCATCAGAAACTGCGAAGCCACCCGACCGCTAAAAAAAATCAATGGTGCGTAATAATTAGAAATTGTAAATTCCCTACCAGACCCAGTTCGCAGGGGGGTAGTGTACAGTTGAACATCGACTAATGGCTCGGTACAGCCTTCTGATCTGAAAAGCGGACCTCCAACGAACCCTTCAAACGTGAAGCCAGTCCAACACGCTGATCTTGCGTCCGCGTTTAACTCGGAGATGTGGATTGAGCCCGGTCCAACCAGGAGTGAGTGTAGTAACAAAGGACCCTGGACGAGCAGAAAAAGGAACTTACTCTGCTATAACAGCAGGTAATAGCAGAGGATCGAACTATGATGCCGAGCTGATCTCGTACCTCCGAGACGACATTCGATACCTGCGCAAGCTGGTCAATGGGCTGTTGTTTTCTGTGATCTTTTCGAATATGGTTTGTCTGTATTATTGCGTAGCTAGACATAGGTGTCGGGGAAGAACTTGATTATGCATGGAAGGTTGTTGACCTGGATAGAGCCTAGAGGAATCGACGCTGTCAGTGGATGCAAGTGCGAATCACTCCAGAGCGATGACATCATTTCTCCCAAGTCGAGGAAGTATATACGCCTCACCACTCTCCTTTGGTACTTACGCTTCACACACCAACGTCCACAATTAATATCGACACTGTCTACAATGTCCGGCAGTCCCCCATCTCCCATAGCCAATCCGAATTCACCGCTGACGACGCGCAACGATCGCGACCTCCCCCATCCCAAGAAACAGCCGACAATCTTCCTCAACCGCGCCGCAGCCCCGGACTACGCCAGGGCGTCTCACCCCCGTTCCACAGAGGGAGGTTGAGCACGTACATCTACGTTCTCGTCGCACTCACCGCGTTGATGGGGGCGTACTACAGCTACCGGATGGTGCAATACAAGATGGCTGTGGGTGGGTGGTGGAATCTGGTGTTGGGGAGGAGTCCACCTGCAATGTATATGCCACCTCAGCGGGAGACGCAGCCGAACACGAATTGGAATGGGTGGCGGGCTAGTAAGCCGGTGAAGGGAGGAGGGGAAGATGGTGTCGAAGTGCACATTCAGGGTCTAGCAAAGGCGCTGGGCATGCCGACCAACGAGCTGGCTTCGGCCATCGCGAGCGCAGTCAGGGCTTATGTGCCCCCTGCGAGTCTGTCATCGGTGGCAGCGAAGGAGACGGGTGAGGCGGTGAAGGTGTTGTTGCAGGAGCCAAGCGCGGGGGAGACGAGGACAGCGAAGAATAAGAAGATCATCAAGGCGGGGAGTGGTGGAAATGTGATGGACAATATCATTTCGGGGATGGACGCGGTGGTTGGAATGGATGACGCTTGAAATACTCTGCTTGTATCACTGATAAGATAAGATGACTGTAATATAATTCTCTCTTACAAACGACGACCGCAATGGACGGCTCTAAGCTGCCCCTGACACTGACCGCAACGCAGGCAGAGGAGATCATCCGCAAGCACCTCTCCGACCACACCCAGTCCACCGTGCACCACATCACCGAGCTCAAGAACCAAGGATACAGGTCCGTGTCCTCCCTCCGCACCCCGCACCTTCCTGACCCCATCACAGCTACACGTCCAAAACACGCACATATGTCGTCGACATCTCCGCCACACCCGTCTCGGCCACGCCCAGCTCGTGCTTCATCACCATCGCCCACCCTCCGCCCTCCGCACCCCACCCCATCGGCACCCTCTCCAACTCCCTCCTCACCACCCACCACATCATCTCCCTCATCCACTCCCAAACCGACATCCCCATTCCCCTCCCCACCCTCGATGCCACCCTCTCTCTCCCCAGCGTCCCGTACCACTTCCTCCTCTCCCCCGCCTCCCCCATCGCCTCCCACGCCATCCTCTCCGTCGCAGAGGCGCGAAGGCGCGGGCTCCTCAACGACACAAGCAAAGAAGCCCTCATGCTCGAGCTCCAGATCGGCCGCTTCCTCGGCCGACTCCACGCGAACGTGCAGAACGACTACTTTGGGCGCATCCGCCGCAGGGACGCGCAGGATACGGAGGAGGAATCCTACAGCTGGCAGGAAACCTTCACGGTTCTCCTCGAGGCGCTGCTCTGGGAAGCTCAATCCGCCGGCCTCGACCTCCCGTATGAGGAGATCAGGAGTTACCTCTCGCGTGCCATTTCTTCGTTCTTGTTCGACGACGTCGACGTGCCGTCGCTTATCTGGTTGACGGGGTCCGAAGAGGACGTTTATATCGCCTTGCCGAGTTCCCTTCTCCCTCCTCCTTCTGCCGCATTCAGCTCGAGCTCGTCGACCGTTCCGACTTTAACAACCGCAGGCGGAATAGCCGCTATCCTCCCGAATGTCACGCACGCGGTATGGGGCGACCCCCTCCTCGAGACCTTCTTCCTCCCACCTGCGCCCTCGCCTGTCCTCAAGGAAGCGTATACCAAGAGCGGAGGGAGCGATACGCTCGTCTTTCCTAGGCAGAGGACAAAGAGGATGTGGTACGACCTCTTGCTTGGGTTGATCGTGCTAAGGGAGAGAGATGGTTTTGGTGCTTCAGCATTGGAGGGTGAAGCGGGTGCTCAAGACGAGGACAGACAGCGGCTAATCAAGTGGGCATTGGATCTGATACAGAACACCATCACTACATTATCAACTGCACCGACTTATTGAATATTGAATGGGGGTTCAAACTAAACTACTATATACATTTTCATCACACTGTATGGATGTAGAGAATTCGAATAGTCATAGGAGGAAATAGAAACATATAACTGTACGGAAGTCGAGAATAGTAAAAGCCTCTTATTCAATTGGGAAAGAAAATTAATGAGCTCGGGGGGAAAGTTTCGGCATAAACATACGTGTGTAGGAGTCGGTCGATAAGGTATCAAGAAACACATCAGATTCACCTTCCTTCCCCTCTCAAAAGTAGAGACCGCATTAGCGTTCATTCACTCCAGATGGCTTTAGGCCTCAGCCTGTGGCGCATTCGCCCTGATCTCTTCCTTGACGCGCATGATCCTCTGCCTCAGTTCCTAAACAAGCCATTAAGAAAGAAGCCAAAAGCAAGGAAAGCTCCAACGTACATTTTTCTCCGCCTCGCTCAGATTATGATACAACTCCTTGATGGCTTGCGTCTTCTCAGCAAAAGTCACGCCGCCTACCTTGGCATAGTTTTCCTTGGTGAATCTAGCGACAAAGATAAGAAATATTATTCATTTACATGAGGAAGGAAACAGAAACGGAAATACGTACGTGGAATACAAGGATGGGAAACCGTTCATGGAAGGTTCTTGTGGATGGACACGTACGCCTTGCGGTTTTTCTTGGGCAGGTTCTTGAGCCATTCCTTACGTTTCTGCGAATATTCAGCGATAGCCTCACGCGAGGGCGCGTAGGCCTAGAAAATAGCATCGGTCAGTAGGTGTATTTATGATGACGTATTGGGAACGATGTCGATGGTATCGCGGTTACGTTACAAAAGAGAGGAAAAAAGCATACCTGCTTAGCCTCCTCAGACATCTCCTTCCAGACTTTGCTTGCCTCGGCAAGGATGACGGCCATGTCAGTTGTGTCTCCACCCGCCTTGCTCTCGTTAAACTGTTTGATAAAGTTGATCCACGAGTTCCCGGGATACTTGAAAGGGGGGCGCAATCCTTCTTGAAAACTGCAATGAAGATGATACAGACACCAGATATGACACCGGCAATTTTGGGGGAGGAGAGGGATTAAAATCATAACCATTAGTGACACTCCAAAAAGGAAAAAGAAAAAAAAAACAGACTCTTCTTTTCCACCACTTTCTTGGGTTTGGCCTTGGCTTTGCACCTGCAGTCTTCGTCTTTGCAGCGACAGTTTTTTTCTTGGCAGCGGTTTTCCTGACGGGCTTTTTCTCCTTGGTCGTAGCTGCCTTTTCCTTGGGTGCGGCTTCGGAAGCATGCGTGGCATTGGCAGCGGCAGTGGAAGTGAACCCAGCTGACTTTGTTGTCGCGAAGAAACGGGCACGTGCTGAGACTAGGGCAGCGGCGGGGGCATACGGAGTACGAGGAGCAGCGGCGGGCAGGGCAGAGAGACGAGAGGCGAAAGAGTGCTTGAGAGCAAGAGAGCGGCCGACCGCGCGGGAGCTCCTGACAAAAGAGAAAATCATGGCGAGGGTTCGGTGGTGGTTGTATTCTGAGTGAGACGTACTGCAGTGCTGACAAGGTTTCGAAACAAAACAGAAGCAAATAACGCGTACACACCTGCCAGCTCGATCGCGTTTGGAAAGTTTCGGGGCCGCGTGGGTTAGGGTTGTCGGGCTGGGAGAGAGCAAAAAGCTGTGCCCGCTGGCTGGTTTGAACAACCGACCTCACCATGGCGTATCCATACGAGTGGCGCGCTCTACCACTGAGCTAAGAGGGCTATGTATAGTAAACAACATATAATAGTAGTACACATCTTGCCAATATCTGAAGGTTGAAAGCATTTCAACCAAAACCACCATCGGCGAACTCATGTCAATTTCTGTCTGCATACCAGCTGCCACTGGCACAACTCCGAGCACCGAGCCAACGCACTCCGCTGTCACTGTAGTCTGTCAGACAGCCGTGGCTCCACCCAGCGCTGATCTGTCTGTCCATGGGATGGATCAACTTCAGACTTCAAGCTTCAAGGCTTGGCTTCCGGGTCGTTTTTGCTTAAATGCGTTCAATGTCAAACCTTGTCAAAGTTCATTTAGTCCACCTCCTGAGATTTTGCTTTTTTGTTCCTTAGGCTGCTCCTGTTCTTGTATTTCTGACTCCATCTCGGCTTTCGTGTCCTTGTCCTTGTCCTTGCTCTCGTTCCTAAATTATATGGCCTCGCTCGGTCCTTTGGGTCATCTCGTCCAACAAATCTTTGAAGAAGACATACTGCATGAAGAGATCACCATCTTTCTAGCGGTCAACACAGCTGGTGTGGTACGTTCTATAATATTGCACTCAAAGGCTGCACTGATTCTGACATATATCAAGGTTGAAATACTGCTCTATGGTAATTTCCTCTCAAAAGTACTAGTTGCTGGCTTACATCGATGCTCCAGGGATCCACCTCGCGCTCTTCTGCGTATGCATGTACATCCTCCTACAAAATAGACAGACAGCGCAATGGTTCATCCTCGTCTCTGCCATCCTCATGTTCGCATTATCCACAGCAGATATAGCCATAACCTTCCGCCTGCTGACCCACGACATCGTCAATGCGTTCGATCCTGCTAAAAACCGTGCGATTGTAAAGTTCATTTATGCCAAGACCCCGTTGTTCGTTTCCAACAAGTGGGTGAGTTTCGTCCTAAGAAAGCATCATCATTTTCAATGCTTTTCTACATAGCCTTGTCGCAGATCTGGTCTTGGTTAGTCCATCAACACCATCACTGTCGCCCTCGATGCTCATCGTTGACCGTTCCTTGCAAGTTATACCGCTGCTACATGATATGGGGACGATCCAAATATATACTCATTGGAGCATCATTCCTCATACTAGCTGACACCGGTGAGTAGATTCATTTTGAAACTTTGTAACACACACCAACGGCCAAGCTCACTAATCGTTAATTCCGATAGTCTGGGGTTACCTCGGCCTGACACAGTCCTTCCTCTCACCAAATAATACCTTCGTGCCGCTCTATATCTGGTCAATATTTGCTATAAACATCACTCTGGCGCTCGTCACGGGTACGTACCATATTATTTAGAGGAACTGAAAGAAAACATCCGTTGTTCGTTGATTATGTACCGAACGCTGACTGGCTTCGACTTCTTTCTTTCTTTAGCTGGCCGAATCTACTGGGTGACGAGAATAGCCCGAAACTTTCTTGGACGTCGGCAGCTGGAACATACCATACTGCCATTGCCGTTATGTGAGTTGATGAATTCTGATGACAATATTGAAAGGATCAAGGAGCTGACGGCACTTTAATTTCATGCGCTTTGCAGTATGGAATCTAGTCTGGTTTATACGACTTGTATTCTGATATACGCTCTGTACCCAAGGAATTCGTTTTACCGGGTATGTTTTCCTTGATTCTCACCACCCCGCCAAGGATTGACCGACTCACTCGTCCATTCCATCTTTCAGATGGTAATCATCACCATATGCCTCAGAGTCGTCGTAAGCAAATCCGTCCCTTTCCCAAATCTCCTTTGCTCACCGGCCCTATTTTTATTTTTTTCCCCTCATCACCCCAGGCCATCATGCCGACGTTGTTAATCGTCCAAGTCGGTCTCCACCGCGCCGTGCGAGACGATGAGAATCCGACAACAGACTCCACCGACGAGACCAAGTCGGAATTTGTAGCTCGCAGAGCGCCGACGTCTGTCGTTCTCGACACTGTCATCACCATGGGACACCATCCCCATGTCCAACCAGCGTCCTGAGCAAAATATTACAGAAAGAATACCCCAACCTTCAGAAACCCCTAATTCTTCCCGAAGATTCTTCTCTAGGCGAAGTGAGCAGCACCCAAGAATGTCCCGGACAGTAGGATAGCGAATTCATAGTACTCGAGTAATGTTAGTAATATTAGAGTCGTGTATGAAATTTATTATCCTACACACAGTTGATTGAATGGTAACAAGTGTCAAATAATGTTTCATTAACCCTTCCGCATTTTGCCTTTAGCCTTTGCGACTGTTCATAGCATGTTAAATGCGTACGGTTCCGAGTTGTTAATCTGCCTTTTTTTGCACTTTGTAGAGTAGGTCGTGCCTTTCTCAAAAGCAAGTGAAGCAGGGCCTACCTTTCGCGGCTGACCCCTGGCAGTAAGTAGGTACGGAGACCATTAAACCTAGTTAGAGAAAATTTTTAAGTCATCACTTGCACTAAAGAAGGTTTATTGCTTCCACTGAGCCCGCCGAGACCGACAGGCACAAGGGAGTCGGTAAGACTAAAATCGTACACTTGCGCACTACAAATTCAAAACGTCGGAATAAGCAATAAAGTTCATAGTGCTAATGTGATTGGTCCGGCAAGCAGTGTGAAAGGAGATAAGATGGGAATTATTAGTTCAAAGTGGACAACTTGGGTCGAATGATTGCACCCGGACGGCTTTGCACCAATCGTTAGCAATCGCTACCTCTCTGGAACTAGTCACTGGTCGCTGAAAGATCCTGACAGGTTAGAGAAAACGGAGATATCAAATCTGGAGCGTACCTGTTGGCTGTATAGGTCGTTGATTCGCGCATTCGGCTAATAGCCTTCTAGGGTCTTGCATGCTCGCTCGTTCTCTATCCCGGCTGCCAAGGTCGGGGTAGGGGCTGGTCATTCTTGAACTTGAACTGCCTCCTTCAGTCCTCCGTGCTATATACTCCTTCCTTCTAGCACTAGTCATTAGATCATGGCTCCCTTACGGCCTCGGTTCGACAGCGCGTGGGGACCTTCAGTGATGCTATCTGAAAATGACCTACCGCCTGAGCTCCTAGCTGTCGTCGTGAGTGCCCAAATAGAGTTCGCGAAACGCGTGTCAATGACCACATTGCACTTAGGTTGAATCCTTTTATACGGTACGCGTTGTTCGACGTCAACCTATGTAGGAAAGAATTTGACGAAGAAGTCGTGTTGCATAGGGATGCACGCCGTACTCTTTCCCATTTGCGCTTGTATCCTCTTTCGGAGGAGGAGGAAGATTCAGTTCATGATGCTAGCTGCAGTAGCCGTCATGTTCGTGCTTGCGACAGTGGACGTGGCGATCTCCTGGAATCTACTTCTTCGGCATACTAGATGGCTGTACACGGAAGATATCCACTGGTGTACAAGGCTGTATTCCCGAAATTCTGGCTATATCTAGTGAATAAGTAAGCTTTCACGAGCAGAGAGTCGAAATGGAAAGACTTATGCTTGTGGAATAGCGTGATAGCAGACGTGTTGCTGGTAATAATGTTTACTACCTCTTCATCGACATTCTTCTGAAATTAATTTCAATAGATTTTGCGGTGTTACGTGGTCTGGGGAAGAAGGAAAAGCATTTTAATATTAACCGGACTACTCCTGGTTGTGGGTACCGGTGAGTACGTTGCAGAGTCATGGTTCAAGTACAGTTTCCTGAACGCGTCAAAGTCTTTGGCATTATCAGTGAAGGCACGCTTTCTCCATCCTTGAAGAAGTTCATTATCGTCTATTTATGCTTCGACCTTGTTCTGAATGTTGGCGTCACGATTTTAACAGGTACGCGCGCGTATTTTAGAGTCCAAATTTCCAGAGTCACTCATGACTGCAGCCGGAAGAATTCTATGGATAGCAAGAGAGGTTAAAAAGATTGTAGGAGACCAAATGACTTCACATTATCACTTTGCAATAGGCGTCTTGTAAGCATCTTCAGCTGCGTCAAGAATTTGTTCGACTGACGTTCCACAGAGTCGAATCAGGCTTGTTTTACTCCGCGTCTGTCATTCTGGTTGTCGTCCTATCCACCACAAATTTCATTGTACGTTTTTTTTGGTACATGAATAAAGAGAAAATCCTGACACCCTTTTCTTACACAGCTCATGGCGGCTGTCATTTCGATCCGTATTGTAGTGGGTGTAATTTTCTTCGCACCTCCGAGCGTGATATTGACAGCTAATCTGCAGTGTATCGTGCCAATCCTCCTCATTGTCCAGATTACGCTCGGACAGTCCGTCAAGGACGTGCAAAGCACAGTCAATAAGCTGCAAGGAGGAACCCAGCAAATTGTTCTGGATACCATTGTCAGCACCCATATCGAATTTGAACGAGGAGCAGCGCATGAAGGGCTAGACGCCGAAGAAGTGGACAATACACAGCAACCTGGAGACTCTGAGAGTTGCTCGGTGACAAATAGTTCAGACAACTGACAAAAAAACATATGAGAGCCGTTGTACTATACCCATGTCTTTGACTTTAGAGCACTTATAAATCATCTGCAATAATTGGCGCGTAGAGTTGGGTTCGCATTACGACTTTGTTTGGTTGGTCCATATTCCAAGAAGCGGCGTTCATTGTTATCTTTGTTGCATGATGCGAAGTGGTGTAGACATGTGCAGTGTAGCCAAAAATGATTGCCATTATGAGCTGATGAGCTCCGCGACCTTCGCCTCAACCTCGGGTGCTGACAGGTTCTCTAATTCAACATGCTGTTCCACACCGCGCGCTGACCAACGGCCATTAAACGTATGAACGTTCAAGAATGATATTGACACTCACCAAACCTGGCAAAGGCTCTAGCAGGTGTTCCGGTTGCCTCCCTTATTAAAACGGGGAGGTCGGGATTGTGTTTCTTGATATCTGGGTATTTCGAGACGATGAATTGCCTGTAGATACTTGAGCAAATAGAGCGAAAAGCGAGAGAGAGATGTCAGGACCTTGTTCCTGCTGAAGCAGGCCCAGTTTGAGAGAATATGATACGGATCTCCCTGAGAGCGGGCGAGAAA